CGGTGTACTTGAGACAGCTGCTCTATCTCTCTGACTCGGTTTCCTCCTCTGTAAATGTGGCAGTAGAATATTATGCAGATTAAATTGGATCTCTGTGTCAGGCACTGAGCACAGCGCCTGACATCTAGTGAGCGCTCAGGAACAGTACGTGGCTGCAACTACTGGCGGCTGTTTTTACCTCCCACATAACCGCCTTAAAGAGAAGGACCGCATCTTCATCTTTGAGCCGCCGAACTTGGTAAAGAAATCGGTACATAGTAGGTGCTCACTCAACATTTGCTTAATTGAACAGAACATGATACACATCACAGGAGAGGAACCAACAGAGGGTTCTGGGAGGCCAGTTATTAGAGAGTTAATTTCTGATTGTGGGGAAGAAAAAACCCCCAAAACTTCAGGGTCAGGATGGGGGAGGGTTGGAAATGCGAGGTAGCTATTGAGATCCGGGCAAGATTTTGCCAGGAAGACATGGAAGGTGGCTGTGGGGAGGTGTTGGCTTGTGGGCTCGGCGTTGGGGTAGGGGTCAGGGATGGGACGGTAGCTATTCTAGGTAAAAGGAAGTGCTTTAGCAAAGGCAGAGGGGCAGGGAGTCACAGACTCGCACTGCAGAGGCAAAGCTGAGCTCACCAGTGGTTGCAAAGGAGGAAGCCTGAGCAGGTGCCTGCAGCCTTAACCAGCACAGCCCCCGTGGGTGCTGGCTGGGCACCATGGCGCGTGTGCAGAGGCCCCCAGGGAAGGAAGCCAGCCACGCCTGCCCCGCATGCTCCCCCTGTGGCAACACGGCCGAGTAGGGGTTGTCACTGTGTTGTCACAGTATGACATTCACGCATGAGCGTAAGAGAGAATGCTGCCCTCCCCCCTTGGCCAAGAGCACTCATTCACTCCACCGACAAAGGGGCACTGCGTGCCTACTGCCAGGCCTTGAGCAGAGCCAACAAGGCCCCTGGCCTTGTTGAGCCTGCGTTCTAGTGCGGGAGGAAGTCAACAAGCACTGTGGTCCCCAACCCCTGGGCTGCAGCCTGGTACCAGTCCGTGGCCTGTTAGGAAATAGGCCGAGTATCACCGCCTGAGCTCCACCTCCCCCCACGACACTCCACCCCTAACCCCTGGTCCGTGGGAAAACTGTCTTCCGTGAAACCAGTCCCTGGGGCCAAAAAGGTTGGGACCGCTAAACAAGCACATAAGCAATGAGATATATTTAATGACGCTGTCCAAGCTGTGAAGAAAATAAAGGTGGTGGACAATGACAGGCAGGAGTGGGGCTGCCATCCTAGACGAGGTGGCCACGGGAGCCGCCTGGATGAGATGACATCTGAGCAGAGGCATGAGTGAGCTGAGGAAGCAAGCCATAGAGTGAGCTGGGAGAAGAGCACTTAGGTGGCTGGGACGGTCACACAAACGTTCCCAAGTGGGGACATGAACTTGGTATGCTCAAGGAGAAGCAAGCAGGCCCGTGTGCACTTAGGAACCGGTGGGCGAGGGGTGCAGGGCAGGAGATGAGGCTGGCAAGGGCCAGGGACAGGCCCCACAGGTCCCAGCAAGGGGCACAGGTTGACCCTACCTGGGATCCATGGGCAGTGGGAGGCCCTGGGGGTTTAAGCAGGGAGTGATGTCACCATCTCACCCTGGCCACTTGCAGGCAGGGGCAGGAGTCCAGACAGGAGGGTGGTGGTAGACCAGGATGACAGCAGCACACGCAGTGAGACGTGTGAGCGGTGGCTGAATATGTGATCCACACATAGTCTGAAGGTGGAGCAACGGCCTAGGCGACTCTCACAATAGGGTGTGACAGGAAGAGAAGTCCAGGTGGCCCCCAGGTCCGGGCCCGGGACACTGGCCTGCGTGGTTGATTCCTTTCTTTCGGGGAGCTCAGGCATGAGTCAGGCACACATGTGACTTGTGAGGGACAACAGTAAACGCCCAGTGCCCCCGCCCAAGGAAACAGGCCACGATAGGTGCAGCCACACATGCTGTCTGCCTGCAGCCACCTATGCCCACACGCCCAGGACGCAGCAGGGACAGGTGCACAGGAAGGGCGCGTGGCTGAGCCCCAGCACACACGCGTTCTGGAAGGCTGCCCACCTCTCATCCGGGTTAGGTTTACCCAGCAGGGCCAGACAAAGGCTGCTGCCTCTCCACCAAGAATCAGACCAGTGGCCTGGTCGGGTCCTGGCAAAGAAGATGAGCCACCAAGGGCTGTGTCCCTCACTCGGAGCCTCAGCTGACCGGTGGGGAGGACACCCCAACCGCACTCCTGGAGCGTCCGTGCACGGGGACTTTGACTTGCTTCATAAACGTAAAGGAAAATGAAAGCAAGTCAGGGAGCCCTTCGGATGGAGGCAGGGCCATTGCAGGACACCAGGCACTTGACATAGAAAACATTCCCCGAAACGCGACATCAGTGCCGGCGCAGAGTGGGATTGGGACCAGACATGACAGGCACCCCGCAGCTCGGCTCCGCGCCCCGCTAATGCCATCTTGTTGTTCCAACTCGGCTCCTGCTCATCAAGAAGCCCCTGCTAAGAACAAGCCAGGGGCCTGGCCCTTCCCCGTCCACAGCCCAGATCAAGAACAAAGGTCGCGGACACTTCCCACAGGGCTGCTGCAGTCGCTCCTGTGATCTGTCCTTTAAAGGCAGGGCGAGAATATGCTCCCTTTTTTGGTAAACAAGCCATAGCTGTGCCAACGGAGTTGGTTTTGAGGGTGCCCAGAGCTTCCCCTTATTTTCAGTGACTTTAACTTAACAAAGGTTTTTCTCTGCATTATGCTTTTATTAGCTTAATTCTCATTCCAAAAGCTATGCTCTGAGGAATGTGGGGAGAAAACCCCACTGTGCTATTCCCGGGCTTTGTGAATACGAGAAGGAACAACAAAAGAGGGAAGAGATGTTTCACACGTTAGGGGCATGTTCAGGCGCCCTGAGAACCGAGCCACTTCATAAATGATTTCATTTAGAAACGGCCAGCTTGCGATTCAGGCATTCTTCAATGAGAAATACATGATTTGCCAAACATGAAATGAAACCATCAAGCCCTGACAAAGTCAGAGGCAAAGCAAAACCGTGGCTGTGGGTGCCCTGTGCTTCCTCCTTCTTCACAAATTAGGCAGCCCGGTGGAAGGTGTTCCAGCCAGGTGCTGGTGTGGGGCGCTGCCTGGGAGAGGGACGTGCACCGATCATCAAAATGCACGCAGCTGGACTTATTCCAGACATTTAGTGACCCGCCCACCCCAACACACACAGGAAACTTGCCTTCATTTCTAGGTGTCTTTGTATGTAAAGCACAGCACAGATTCGGAATAAGCCAGACACAGAACAGGGCTATTAAGACAAAATGTAGGATAAAATTGTATAGAATTACACACACACACACACACACAGGTGCATGTAAAAACTAGTGACAATGGTATTAGATCAACACCTACGTTCATTCCCTGGTTTCGATACCGAGCTATAGCTATGGAGGGTATCACCCTTGGGGAAGCTGGGGGGAGGATAGCAGAACTCTGTTTTTGCAACTTTCTGTGAATCTACAATGATTTCAAAATAGTTTTTTAAAATGTCAAATGTGCTGGTTCTATGGCAGGTGTCCTCTGACCAACTGAAATACGTGGTTGCACGGGTCCTTTAAGTTCTCATCGTATGCAGAGCTGCTCTGGAGCAATAGCAAGAAATCGTCACAGCCATTGCTTCCCCAAAGACAGCTTGACAGAAACGAAGTCCCAGAGGTGACAAGAAGTTGACCACTAGAGGAAGAGCTTAGGGTATGTGTCCTTAAGTCACCCTGTCCCAAACCAGTCCTGTTGAAGACTGGAGGTATCAGGCAAGCATGTCCTGTGGAAGGGTCTGTTGCCACAGGCCCATGGATTTCTTCCACTCGCCACGCCTGCCTTGGGATCTGGTGACAGGAACTGTGAGGACCAAAGTTCCACCAGCTCTGCCCCTGGTCTGAGGGTGTCAGGTTTTAGGGTGCATCAGAGTCATGAGGGATGTGCTAGAATGCTGATTCCAGGGCCTTGTTCCAGAGATCCTGACTGAGTAGATAAACTATGGGGCCTGGGAACCTGCATTCACAGCCAGAGCACTGCGTGATTCTGTCACAGATGGTTCTAGGCCCACACTTTAGGAAACACTACCTAGGAGCCTGCAGGGTCGGGAGAAGAGCAGGCAGGCACTCGGCATCCATGGAGCAAGGTGCTCCTCGTGCCCCTGAGAGAACTTCAGAGCCCCACTTCTCCACGTATGCCAGAGATCTCCAACCCCGGTGCCTAAGGGAGGCTGCAGGAGGGGACCGGGAGCCTCCTGCATTGGTCCTGTGGAGCCTGGGACCATGTGGCATTTAAGATAAAATGCATCATAGCTACTTTTTACTGTGTGCTGATGATAGACTAAGCACTCACATCTCATTTAATCCTCACAACACTGCCATGAGTGTATTACTCACTATCTCCATTTCACAGATAGGAAAACTGAGGCTCGGAGAGTTCCAGGGTTACATAGCTAGAAATCGACAGAGAAGGAGGCAAACTCAGCCAGGGTTTGCCATTCTGCGGTACAACCTCCCTGTCTGACACAAAGGCCCCTTCAGGTTCTCATCTCCTCCAGGACAAAGCATGCTGCTTAAAAAGAACAGAAACCTGGGGGTGCGGGGGCTGGGCAGAGGGGGAGGGGAAGAAGATTTTCCCACTCCTTGTCTCAGTGGCGTTAGCGCTCCTTTCCAACTTAAAGCAGATCTAAACCGCTCAAGGTCTCCCTTCCCTGGCCACTTTGTCCTCCCTCCCTTGCATCTTCCGTCCAATTCTCTCCTTATCTTTCTCCTCTGTTCCCCTTTCTGTTTTTCTCCTTTTGTCTCCAAAGCCCAAAATCACAGGCCCAGTGTGTGTGCTCCTCCATTTTCCTTTTCTCCCCACTGCTAGCAGAAGAATTTTCTCTCGCCAGCCTTTCATGACATGGGCCATCTGAAGACACGAGAATGCGGCTCCTAGCAGGGCGAATGACCTACCATTTTCCAGAGGACACTGTGGGATCCTGTTTGCCCGAAGGTTCCAAATATAATCCATGTTCCACTCAAGGCACACTTGATGGTCTTTGAAAGGGCGTTCAAAAGGCGGGACTGTCTTCAGCAGAGTGTAATTCTTTGCGACGGCGTGTAGGAAGTTTTCGTCCCATTTAACACTCGAGTCCCCGCCGCTGTGTTTGTGAGTGATCCAGGCGCGCAGTATCACCGCGGACACCGAGATGGAGTGTCTGATGAAGTAATCGTCTCTGTAAACCATAATGCTTGGAAATTTCACATGAACTATTTGTGTCCTGCTGGTGTGAAGATGCTTCTCGTTCTTCCACCTCTTTTTGTACACGGGAATGCTGCTTCTGAACTCGGATGAAACAACCGCCTCCAAATTGACAACACAGGGCTGGGAGCACAGATACTCCACCGAGACCTCAGAAACGTTGCGAACGTTCCCTTCAAAGACAGTAAAATAAATAAAGTCCTTGTAAGCCACGCTCTGCTCGGCTTTGGGTATCACTGATGTCGTCAGAGCAGTCTGCCTACCCAGGGACGGTACAAAATTCTGAAAAAGAGGGGAGAAGAAGTAAGAAACACAGAAAGATTAAAATTATCATAATAACAGATATGTGAATCACTATTTTTCCTGGGATAAAAAATATCAATCTGCATAAAGCCATGAATGTGGAAGAAGATAAAAGATGTCGAAACCACTGCTGAACGACTGGAGAAAAACCAACAAGAACACAAAAGAGATCAGGCCACGTTCAACCCTCTCCTCGGACTCAGGAGCATCTGCTGATCAAAACGTGACTTTCGAAGCTACGTGGCGAAATCCCCGGAGCTGGTTTCCAAATGGAGGAGCTAGTTCACAACAAATCCAGCAGCCACTGCAGCGGCCTGAGAATGAAAGAGACACAACCCGGAGTCAGACATTTTCACACTATTGTCCTGACTTCACACGGCGGGTCAGATGCTGCCAAATCAAAGGCTACGAGAAAAGTTCAAAGTGCACCCTCGAGGGACCGTAACCGGGATGCCAACCTGGCTCGCTTTCCTCTAGTAAGTTCTAAGCCAGGACAAGCCTGCATCACGATGGACCAGCGGGAGGTTCCTACTGCTCCAAATCACACACGGGCAGTCCTGGACCGTGGACTGTGCTGTCCTTTCGCCATGGATAACGCTACGTGATGCGCCAAGAAAGACTTTAGCTGCGTGTTTATCTGTCGTGAGACCAAGGCAATGTTCTGAGCATGAGGGGCTGGTGTAAGGGTGCTAAGAGCTCTTCTAATTACGGCTGTGTGACTCGGGTATCTAAAACACAATAGCAAAAAGGTCACTTTGGACCACTTCCCACCCCTTAGGGTTGCTATTTATCAAAAAACCAAAAAATAACAAATGTTGGTGAGGATGTGGAGAAACGGGAGCTCTTGTGCACTGTTAGTGAGAATGTAAATGGGGCAACTGCTATGGAAAACAATACAGTTCCTCAAAAAAATTAAATATAGGATTACCATATGATCCCATCCCACAATTTCACTTCTAAGTATGTACCCAAAAGGGGTGACGGCAAGGACTCGAAGAGACGTTTGTATACTCATGTTCACAGCAGCACTATTGACAGCAACCAAAACCAAGCCCAGGCTCTATCAGCAGATGAATGGATAGACACAACATGGTATATACCTGCAATGGAATATTATTCAGCCCTGAAAAGGAATGATATTCTGATATATGCTAAAATACAGATGAATTTTGAAGACATGATGCTAAATAAAGCAAGATAGACACAAAAGAACAGTAGGTATCCTATAATCCACTTATATGAGGTACCTAGGTAGTCAAAGTCACAGAGACAGAAAGTGAAATAGAGGTCCCCAGGGTCTAATAGGAGTGGGAGATAGGGAGACAGTGTTTAATAGGTCCAGAGTTTCAGTGATGAAAATAGTGCTAGAGATGAAAAGTGGTGATGGCTACACAACAGTGTGAATTTACTTAACACTGCTGAAACTGTACACTTCGTGGTTAAAATGGTACACTTTGTTTTATAAATGTTTTTTGCCAAAATTTTAAAGAAAAAAGTCACTTTGGTCTTCTCCCAGGAAAGAAGAAATAAGGATTCCTTTTTTCCAATGCTGGCTTAAAGCTACAGGAGCAGCGAAGGTGAACAAGGCATGAAGCCTGGGGTCAGGAAATCACAGCTATAAATAACAGTGACACAAGCAGAGCGTGGTCCCTGCTCCAGGCAAACTACAAACAAACCCAAAGGAACACAGCACCAGAAAGAGTAATTCTGAGTTGGGGTGTTAGGACAGGCTTTATGGAAGAAATGGTATTTCAACTGGGCTTTGAGGGATGAAGAGAAGTTCTTCAGATAGAGATGCGAAGGGAAGGCACTGCAAGTAAACAGCGTAAGTGGGGCAAGAGATAGGGAAGGGTAGGTGTATTCGGGGAACAGCGAGCAGCGATGTGGACATGGGGATATGGCATTGAAAAGACAGACAGGGTTTGGGCCCTAGAGAGCCCTGAGTTCCAGTCCAAACAATGTGGACTTTTATTCTGCTGACAGCAAAGAATCAATGAAGGTTTCTGCAAAAGGGAGTGTTTCCCTTTTAAAGCAACTGACATTAGAAACAAGGCTAACAATCCATTAGAAAAATGAGCAAATGACACAGTTCAAAGATAAGTGAATTCCCATTCATAGCAAAAGAAATGCAAATTGAAACTACACTGAGATACAATTTTTTAACCTATTAGATTCACAAAGATCAAAAAGTCGGATAACACCTTATACTAGCCAGAGTGCAGGGAAGCACACCCTCTTACGGATTGCTGGTGGCAGTAATCTCTACCAGGCCAATCAGGCAATACCTAGCAAAAGTATAAACGCACCCGCCCTCTGGCCCAGTAATTCCACCTATAGGAATTTATCCTACAAACACACTCAAATCTCTGCCAAATGAGTTATGCATGCATCAATTTTCACTGCAGCACTGTAATAGCAAAAGATGGGAAGCCCAAATGCCCATCAAGAAGGAGCTGGTTAAATAAATTATAGTACATCCATTCATGGAGTACTATATAGATATTAAAAAGAGGAAGATCTTCATGTACAGATAAAGGAATGATCTCTAAAGGGTTTTTAATTTGTTTTTTTTAAAAAACAGGTTCACAAATACCACTTGGGTTAAATGTGTGTGTGTGTGTGCATATTCACTTGAATACGCTCACCACCACTGGCTGCCCACATGGGTAAGGACAGTGTCACCAGGGGACAGGATGAGAGAGACAGATGCACTGTTTATTCTTCCTTATCTTTTGAATTCTGCATCCAGTGAATTTTTTTAAAAGGGGGAGGAGTGAGAAGCAAGCAGCCATGCTAAAGGCAAACGTGGCTTCTGCGAATCGCAGAGAGAAGAGGCAAAGGGCCACCGTTCCTTTTGATGAATCATGGGAAATCTGTGGGAAGAAAGGGGGGTCACAGTCCAAACTGTCTGCCCCCGCAGGGGGGGGTTTAATTGTTTTATGTTCTTGTTTATACTGCCAAATTATGAGGGGGCAGTAAATAAATATAAAAATAATCTCATAATTACAAGTAGAGAATGTCAGAGCGGATGAGCCCTTGGTGATGCGCCTGTCCTCTCCCGCATTCTGCAGACCACCGAGAGGTGACGTTCTCCTGCACCACCCGGCCGGTGGGTTAGCAGAGGCGAGCCCAGGAACCTGGCTCCTTTTCTTCCCTCCGCCCACCCCCACACTCGCCACCCTACCGCACACAACTGCGAGACGACAGAGTCCCCGACAGAGTCCCCACTGCCCGGCAGCCTGGGAACTCCAGGCTGAAGCTTGCTCCCACACGAACAGAGACGCGCCGGCATGCGCCCACGGTGGCAGTTCATCCATCCCGCCAGAAGTGCCAAGAGGGTGCCCCCACTGTCAAGGGGTGACTCGAGCTGTGAAGCTCACGGCAGCGTTCCCCCCAAAGCCAGCGGTCACTGGTGCTGACGGAGCTGCAGCAGAAGAGCAGCGTGAGCAGCCAGCGCGCCGCCCTACCCCAGAGTAAAGCCCCAAACGCGCCCTCGCCAGATCCGACGGGAAGGACACATTGCTTATTTAGGGAGACAACAGCAGCACAGAGTCCGGGATGTGCCATGGTATAGTAAATATAACACTGCGTTCTTTTCTGAAGAATGACTTGAAACCTCTTCCTCATTCTTGTCACCTATACCTTAAAAACTTACCCAGACCCAGCTCTCCTGCTTCAATTTTTTTTTTTTTGTCACATTTTTAATGCTGATGCTAGGAACTCCAGTGAAAATCTCTTTTTAAACAGAATGACCATTTGACTTCACCAGAAAAGTGCAGTTAATAGCAATCAAGCTCATTTTTACATCTTAATGCTAAAAAGGCACCGGTCCACTTTTCTCCGCTAACAAGCACAGCCCGCTGAGAGTGATTTGGTTTTGGCCACGCTCATAACATCGCGGATAAAGAAGGTATATACACACCTCACCATGCACCTCTCCAGAGCCTTCCCTCCAAATTCTGCCTCAGAGAAAATCTCTGTGTACTCATACGAAGATTACTTTATTTTCATCCATTTCAAAGTCTCAGTTGCAGTAAAAGTAACCCAAGAGAGGTGGGTTTTAGACATATGCGATCCACCCTGAGTAGGACAGTCAAATATGGCGCACTTGCCATGTGGCCGTCCCTGAGACGTGCTGTGAGTATAAAATGTACACAGGATTTCAAAGCATTAGTATATAAAAAAAAGAGGCTGTGAAATATCGCATTAATCATTTTTATATTGCTTGTATGTTGAAATGATAATATTTGGATACATCGAGTTAAATAAAATGTGTAATTGAAATTAGTTCTGTTTACTTTTTAATGTGGCTACTTGAGAATTTAAAATTACATATATGGCTTGCATTTCTGTCTCCCCTTATATTTCTACTGGATGGTGCTATTCTAGATTTGAGGTCAGCAGACATTTTCTGTAAAACAATGGCCAGATGGTGAGCAAATATTTGGGGTTTTGCGAGCCACTCGGTGTCTACTGCAACTACTTGATTCTGCGGCATCAGCATGAAAAAAGCTTTAGGGACACACAACCGAGGGAACACATGGCTGTGGTCTGATACAACATAGTTGAGAAATACAGGCAGCTGGCTGGATTGGCCCGTGGGTTGTAGCTTGCTAACCACTGTCCTAGATTATCAAGCTTTCATTCTAGATAGAGTTTTGAAGAACACAAGGTAATAGAAGATATGTAAGGAGTTATCATATAAGAGAAATGGGGTGGATAACCCAATCAGCATAATTTCATGTATGTGTAGTTGACGGGGCTTGAATCCATATTCTTCTAAGGTTCCCTGATGGTGGGTGTTGACATCTTGCTATTGCTTCTTTCAGAAAAGATCTAAGTCAGTGAGAATGTGAAGCTGGGCTGGGCCGAGAGATGAAATTGCACTGACTGAGATGGATGATTCGAGAAATGTAAGAAGCCTGAGTGACAGCTTAAATACAAGAGAAGAGCAGCTTCAGAGCAACTTCAGGGATGGA